GGACCTGGACCTGGACCCCAGCCTTCTGACTCAAGCCCATCTCTACTCTTTGGACCATATCACAACTATTGCTTCCTTGATCGGTGTGCATAAAGAATACTCTCCTCTCTCATTGTTGCTGCCAGAGCATGTATGTTGTAGCCCTCACTGTGTTCAGATACTAATAATAGCTTGCAATGACTGAGAACTTAGGATGTACCAGGCTCTGCTCTAAGCTCTTTATGGTAAATCTGTGTGGTAAAAACTACTATAATCCCCATATTAGGGATGATTAATCTAGGCATTGAAAGGTTAAGGAACTTTCCCAAGGTCACATACCTAGTAAGCGGTGGGGGTAATGGATGCCAGGCTTTGTGCCAAATGCCTCTACATGGATTATTTCATTCAATTTTCAACATAATCCATATTAGTACCCTATTAGGTATTAACATCCTCCAATTTTTTATACATGCAAAAGATGGAGTTTAGAGATAAATAACAGAGCCCAAATCAAGTCAGTTTAAAATAAGATTCTGTACACATGAAATTAATAAAAATACCCAAACAGGTAGCTGATACAATATAATTAAGACATTGGAGGCATTTCTACATAATGAATGCATTAGCTCATTGAATCTTACACAATTAATTTCTCAAACATTTCTCTGAAATTTAACTTATTTTAGAAGTGATCTTTCTGTGAAGTATAAGTAATTCCTTTATTGTTAACATACTATATGGATTATTCTTGATATAGGAGTTAGTTTTATAAACTTCAGTTGCATTGTTAAAACACAAGATGTCTGGTCCTGGCTTTTTGCTGCTGTATCCAGCAGATTCTTCTGTTTACTCTCTACCTTTCAGATGCAGACTGCTAGTTATTGTTCATAGTCTGCTATGGAGTTGAAAATCATTCAGATATTTCAGGATTGTGATTACAGTATAAACAAATGCCTAATAAAGCTTGGGAACATACACATAAATAGAATATTTTTTAAAACCCACAATTAACTACTAGTAAAATTATAAACAAGATGTCTACAGAAGATAAGAGGAAATTTTTAAATGTTTATACTGAAAGAGAGAAAGCCGTGAAACCTGAATATCATAAATTTTTCATGCATTTAACATATATTTGTTGAGTGCCATCAAAGACAGACATTCTTTTTTTAAATATTTTTTTTTTTTTTAAGATTTTATTTATTTATTTGAGAGTGAGAGCGAGAGAGAGAGAATGAGAGAGAGAACACGAGAGGGGGTAGGGTCAGAGGGAGAAGCAGACTCCCTGCCGAGCAGGGAGCCCGATGCGGGACTCGATCCCGGGACTCCAGGATCATGACCTGAGCCGAAGGCAGTCGCTTAACCAACTGAGCCACCCAGGCGCCCAAAGACAGACATTCTTACAGTGGCAAACATACAAATAAAGTCAACACTTGGAAATGTTGGACCTGGATTGAATTTCCTTATTAAAGACATAATATTCATACTGTAATATAAAAAAAAAACCCTCAATGATATTCTCTCCACCAAAGACACATACAAAGGAAGGTACCTTGGAAACTTTGAAAATTAAAGGAAAGTTGAGATATATCAAGCAAAGGCTAAGAAAAAGGAAGTCATGGAGAAATGTCAGTATTAGATAAAGTAGAATAGTCAACTAATAGAAATAAGAGGGTAACTTTATATTGGTAGCAATTATAATTTACATAGCAGGAATAAGAGTTATAAACCATTATGTATCAGATAATACTGTATCAGGAAGCATGAGTGAAATACAGCTGTCTTCCACCTTTTACCCCTTTGTAGCATTTGTACATAGCAGTAACATGGAAATCTGCCTTGAGGCAAGATCAGTGAATGTGGCAGCTTGTGTTAGAGAATGAGGGCAGTGTCCCATGTGAGTGGCAAAGCCCAGGAAGACGGGCTATATCCATCCTCCTTTAACTCAGGCTTCCTATCTTGATGTCACTTTAAACAAGCAGTAGTACAAAGAATCCTAGCCCATTCCTACAAAGGCTGCTTAAAGGAACACACATCTAAAAATCACCAAACATTTGGGAAAGGTAACACAAAGAAAGATACACTAAACACAATGCATAGAAGAATTTACAATGGGGGCACCTGGGTGGTTCAGTCGGTTAAGCATCCAACTCTTGATTTTGGCTCAGGCAATCTCAGGGTCGTGGGATTGAGCCCCACATTGGGCCCCACACTCAGCTGGGAGTCTGCTTGAGATTCTCTCTCCTCTCCCTCTGCCCCTCTCCCTGCTCATGCATGCTCTCTCTAAAATAAATAAATTAATAAAAATTTTTAAAAAGAATTTATAATGGAGAAAATAAAATTAAGAGAAGAACCAGTCCTTGACTTTTATTTTTTATTTCTTTTTTATTTTTATTTTTTAAGATTTTATTTACTTATATGACAGAGAGAGAGACAGCAAGAGCAGGAACACAAGCAGGGGAGTGGGAGAGGGAGAAGCAGGCTTCCCGCTGAGCAGGGAGCTCAATACGGGGCTCAATCCCAGGACCCCAGGATCATGACCTGAGCCAAAGACAGATGCTTAGCGCCCGAGCCACCCAGTGCTCCAGTACTGGACTTTTATATGTATTATCTTCAGAATGGCAAAAAAAAGTATTGTGTCTATAAGAAAGAATCATCTAGATATCATGGGAATTAAAAACTTGCTTGTTGAAATTTAAATTCAATTCATGGGCAAAACAGAACAAGGTATACTGCTGAAGAATTAATGAGAGAGTTAGAAAATTGAAATGAAGATTTCCCTAAATATAGTACAAGAGGGGAAAAAATAAAGGACAGAAATAATAATTAAGAGACATACATAATATATCTTCTACATATTAGAAGTTTAACATTTATCTAGTAGGAAATCCAGAAAGAGAGATGAGCAAGAATGAAAAGAACATTTATTAAGTAAATAAAAAAGATAACTTTCCAGAATGTAAGAAAGATTTGAGTTCTTAAATTGAAAGTCTCTACCAAATGTTTAACAGAATGAATTAAAAGCAAACAAAACTTGCAAATCTAGTCACAATGTAGTGAATTCAGAACAGTCAAGCGAAAGTCTAAAAAGCTTCCCAAAAGAAAAAAAAAAAAACATATCCACAGCGCAACAAAAATCTGATTTTCATTTGCAATACCAGATGCCAGAAGGAACTGGGGGAAAGCTCTTCCAGAATGGCAGAGTAAAGACGTCTAAAAATCCACCCCTTTATAAAGGCAATGAAAACACTGGAAAAAAACTGTCAAAATCAACTTTTTCAGAAATCTGGATATTGACCAAATGCTTACAACATTGAGGAGTGTTATTTTTTTTAAATGGCTGAATCTCAGTAATAACAGTACATTTGTTTTTCTATGCTGATGTAACAAATTACCGTAAATTTAGAGGCTTAAAACAACAAAAATTTATTATTTTACACTTTTGTAGGTTAGAAGTCTGATACAGGTCTCAGTGGGCTAAAATCAAAGGTGTCAATGGGGCTGCATTCCTTTCTGGAGGCTCTAAAGGAGTACCTGTTTCTTTGCTTTTTCCAACCCACATTCCTTGGCTCATGGCCCCCATTCTTTCTTTAAAACCAGCCACACTGCATCTTTCTGATCCTCCTTTCATGGTCCTATCTACCTCTGATGACAGGTGGGAAAAATTCTTTGCTATTAAGAACTCATGTAATTAGATTGGGACCAACTAGATAACCCAGAATAATTTCCCCATCTCAGGGTCCATTATCTTAATCCCATCTGCAAAGTCCCCTTTGCCATATAAGGTAACATATTCACAAGATTCAGGAATTGGAACACGAACTTTTTGTGAGGGACCTTACTCTGCCTAGCACAAACTGCATTTTGTGATGTTTTAACTTGCCCTACTCCCATCCCCTTCTATCCAGATCCAAGGTAGACTTGAGAATGACCAACTATTATGGCTGTAACAGCCAGCACCTTAGTAGTCACTGAAGGTGGGCAGAATGAGTTTGGAGCTTCCCCCAAAGCTCATCCCCCAAGATTTGTCACTACTTGGTCTGGCAGCTCCCTAGAAAAACCCTGTTCTGTATTTGACCTAATTCTGATCTCCCTTAGTGAGAACAACTCTGTCCCTAGGGTATTTGTCAAAAACAAGCAGCTGCCTCAGGCACATAACAGCTGGGGAAAATAAGAGGCTGACCAAAAAAAAATATGAAAGGAAAATATGGGGAATAAGATGTTCTTACAGGACCTTGAAATTTTCCAATATATCCCTGAGAATCTAGAAAGCCCCACATAGGTGCAGGGCTGTGTGAATGCTCAAGAAAGACTCGAGAGGACTTTAATCTCTCCTTTTGGGCTAATCTTGATGCTCTACACAAGCAGGAAGTGAAGGCTAAGGCAGAGTTGTAAATTGTCAGAGGACTGAAGGTGTGCCCCAACACACAGAATCCATTGGCAAAGGCAGGGGGAATTCTCGGCTGAAGACATTTAAACAAAATTCTGTCTCATCTTTAGCTGACCACTAAACTAACTAATCATTAGCTGACCACTAAATCTCTAGCAGTGAATTCAGTGGCCCCACGTAAAAAAGAATACAGACTTGACAGAATTAGTCCAGGAAACAGACTAAAAACCAAGAGCAGTTACAACAACAACAATACACCTGGGGTGGGGTTCAGGGGGAGGAGATGGGGGGTGGATTTTCAGAAGACCTACTTTAAAATACTTAAAGTGTCCACTTCCCAACAACAACAAAAAAACCCACAAAACACACAAAAATAAGAAAGTGTGACCCTTACACAGGAAAAAATATAGTCAGTAGACATGTGTGGGTAAGTTCCCTGAGGAAACCCAGCTGTTGGAACTTATCAAAGAGTTTAAATCAGATATTATAAATATATTCAAAGAACTAAGGAGACTGTGTCTAAAGAAAAGGATGAGTATGATCATGAGGTCTCACCAAGTAGAGGCTATGAACAGTGAGAAACTATAAAAGAAGACCCAAAATGAAATCACAGAGTGGAAAAGCACAATACCTGAAGCAGAAACTTCATTGAAGGGCTCAGTAGCAGAACTGAACTGGCAGATGACACAGCCAACAAACCCAATGATGAAGCAATGGAGATTCTTCGGTCTAAGGAACAGAAAAAAAAAAGAATGAACAACAATAAACAGAATCTCAGAGACCTGTGGGCTATCAGCTAGCATACCAACATACACATCGGGGAGTCTTAGAAGGACAAAAAAAAAAAAGGGCAAAAAATTATATTTGAAAAAATAATAGCCCCCAAATTCCCAGTTGGAAGAAACACATTAATCTACACATTTGAGGAGCCCAACAAATGTAAAGTAGGATAAATCCAAAGAGTCACACCTACATAGCTCACAATCAAACTGTTAACAGACAAAGTCAAAGAAAATATCTTGAAAGAAGCATGAGAAAAGCAATTCATCAGAAACAAGGGATCCTTAATGGGAATCACACTGGAACCCTGAGCAAAATTTTACATACTATTGAAAAAAAGTATTAATCCAACCTATATTAAGTTAAAATGCTAATTGTAATCTCCAGGACATCCACTAAGAAAATAAGTAAAAAAATATATAGCAAAAGAAACAACAAGGTAATTAAATGGTACACTTGAAAATACCCATTTAACCAAAAGAAGGCAGTAATAAAGGAATAGATGAACAGAAAAGATAGAAAACAAATAGAAAGATGGTAGACATAAAACCTACCTTATCAATAATTATAGTAAATGTAATCCACTTAAATGTGCATTAAAATGCCAATGAAGATAATCACATGACTAAACATGAAGGTTAAGTAGTCAATATTTTTGAGAAGAATTCTCACCATCCTAACAAGGCCTATGGACCTGAGAAACAATGAGCGACAAAACATACTTTTCCTCCTGAAGCAGAACAACCCATTTGGGAAGGAAGAGGTTCTGGCCTCTCCCACAGGGTTTGTTCAAAACAGAACGTAGGTTGCCACTCCCTTTCCAACAGACGGTGCTCTCTGAAGCCACCAGTTTCTTTATCAATGTCTTTTATGCTATGTGAGGGTTTTATCCATGTGAGGGTTGCAGCTCTGAGTAGATAGTAGAGCAGGAAGTAAAGGAGGACTGGCACATTGGGACATGACCTCAAGGGAGGTGTAGCCCTAACATGTGAAGGTCTGTGGTTTCAGCTGAAGATGGGGTCCATAAGAACAGTGCATCCTGGGACTGTAACATGGTAGACAATTGTTGAATTTGCCAACTGTACCCCTGTTTCCTTTTGGAGAATCACCCCATTATGTGGCATCTTTGACAGTCAATGGAAGGTCCCTACTTTCCCCCGGTCAAGGATTCCAGTCTCTTTCTCGAAGTTTATCCATCCCATTGGCAGCCAATATAAAGCTGTCATTGGAAGCTGCCACTGTGGTTTCCACATTTGCCTGGCTCCTGGCTTTTCCAGAGCCTGCTTCTCCATACTGATCCTAACTTTATTTAAATTTTTGGTATTTTGTCCATCATGGATTTAAAAATATATATATTTTCTTAAAAATTGCATTAAAGTGTTACTTATCTCAATTACTGAGATTTTTAGCACCACCCTAAATTTGGCTTCTGAGGAAACTGCTTCACTCACCTCAGCCTTGTTCTGGCCTCGGGTCCAGCCTGTGAGTGAATGTTTCTGCTTAAAATAACAGAATCTGGAAGCCAAAGAACCTTGGCTTATCCAAGGAAATAGAAAAATAAAAAACTAATAAGATACATCAAAAAAATTGCTGCATACGTGGACATCTCAGGAGGAAAACTATGAAAACTAATAATTGTCATTATATTCGAATGTCTATCAAAAATTTAGAAAGAATCAACTGTGAAACTATTTGAAGTCCCTCCCCAAATATAATGAAAGGTCCATAAGCAATAAGCAATGTTTATGTGCAATGGAAAAACAGTATATAATTTATTATCACAATAGAACTTTAAAATACCTGAAAATAAATCTAACAAGAAGTATGCAGAGCTATATGAAGAGAAATATAAGCACTTATTGCAGGAACTTGAAAACGGCCTGAGTGAGGGAGTAGTCACTCTCTGAGCCTTGACCACAAGACACAATATTATAAAGAGATCAATTTTCCCCATACTAACATGAAAGTACAAAACAACCCCAATCAAAATCCCCCCCAAAAAATAGTTGTAAAGAAGCTCTACACTCTAATTTGGGAGAGAAAATACAAGATTGGCCGTGAAATTTTTGAGAAATAATGGTAAAAGAGATATTTCCTATAAGTTGTCAGAATATTACATACAGTAATTAATGTGACTTTGCAGTTTTAAATTACACTTATGTTTATAATAATTATTTGAATTATTACAAATAACTATTTTAATCATTAATTTGGTAATTAATACAATGTCACATTAATATAGGAATAAACAAACAGATCTTGGAGGAAATAAAGTCTAAAACTATATGTATGTTACACACACACACACGCACACACAATTTTAGCACATCGTAAAGGAGACACTTCCTGAGGGGGACACACTCCTCACTTTTGGAACCGAGACAAGTGGCTACTCAGAAAGAATAAACAAATCTAGAGTTTCTTCTCACACCACATAGAGAAGTTAGGTTATCCATAGCTTACATGTTGAAACATTTTTAACCTATAAAATTATGAAATAGAAAACTGGAGGAAAATCACAAGACAAAAATTAAAGTTATGACAGATTTTACCATATGAAAATGAGTGAACTGCTTTACTGGGAAAGATGGCAAAACAATATCAAAAGACAAGGAAGAGATTAAGAGACAATATCTGCAAAATATATAACAGATGAAGGCTTAATATATGCAATGTATAAAAAGATAAATAAAATAAGCCCCACTTAAAATTAAGAAATGAAAAAGAGGCAATTCAAAGAAAAAGAAGTGCAAATGGTCACATACATCAGAAAATATGTTCCACTTCCCTAGTAATTAAGGAAATATGAATTAGAACAACATTGAGATTGTATTTTTTCACCAGACTGGCAAATATTTTAAATTTCCATAACATCCAGTGTGAGAAAACAGAATTTCTTATTCACTGTTAATAGGAGTGTAAATTGGCACAGTCTTATTCAAGGACCATTTGGCAGAAACTATCAAAATTAAAATTATGAATTCTCTTTCACCCACATTCTAGGAGCTTATCCCAGAGAAATACTTGCAAATAAGCACAAAGATATCTTCACAGATTTATTCTGGCATCACTTTTTTTATCATAGTAAAATTTTTTAATTGACCCAAGTAACCTTTCAGAGTGGAATTTACCAGCATGAAGTTTTTCCCATTTCTTTCCACTTTTAAAAATGAGAATACATAGTCATGCACCTATGTATTTAAAAACACTAAGTAATACAAGGTGATAATGTTAATGAAAAAATGAGTATGTGCTGTGCCCTACCATGTTTTTTGATGAGGAAATTAATCCACATGAAAGTCTTCAGTTGAATGAGGTCATAATTTAAAAAATAATTAAAATAATAATAAAAATCAGGAATTTTAGGAACTTAAAATAATTCCTAAGTTTACCTGGCATAGCAACAGCAATAACAGTTAAGAAATTTTTGACAAAGCTAAAACCTTACCCCACCAGAGTCTGAAATATATTACAAAATTATGTAAGTACAGAACATAGCATTTAAAAGAATTTACAAGCACATTAACAAAACAAAGTAGAAAGTGGGGTAAAAACCTTGATGGAGCACCGGCTCCATAAGGACAATGGGTGCATCCAGAGTAAAAGGGATGTATTAAATTGACAAGTAATACGGAATTTGTTAGATATGTGTAGGATGGGTTACGTGAGATCTAGTTTAGATATTTGTACTGCCCATGATTCATTAAAATAAATTTCAGATAGATTAAAGAGATGAAAATTTTCAAATTGTAGAAAATCTAAAAGAAAATAGAGATGAATATCTATAAAGTTTCTAGAGGGTAAGAAGTTTCTAAGCATTTGATCAGTAGAAAAAAAAATCACCAAGGAAAAGATCAATAATATGATTACTATAAAATCACATTTCTATATCTCAAAACATAACTAAAATGGACAGAAAAGCAATAAAGTAGAAAAATTATTTGCAGCAAACACGTTGAACCAAAGGTTGATCTTTTATGTAAATAAAAAGAGCTCATATAAATTGATAAGAAAACAGATCCTAAAATAAAAATAAGCAAAGAACTAAAAGAGATCATTTACACAGCTGGATTGCAACTGGTAAAAAAGGAAGAAAAAAATCAAAGGAATGCAAAGTAAATCAACATTTCAATTATAGTTTTGCCTATCCTATTAGATGAAAGTCATTGGGTTATTTATTAATTAAAGAACTACCTCATTCCAGATAGCAGTGAAAATTTTAGAAATCAATTTGGCATTTTGCATCAGAAGCTAATATGAGTTCCCCCTTCTGGGAATCCTTCCTAAGGAAATAATTCTTAATACAGATATCAAAGCTGTATGCACAATGAATTCACGGCAGCATTATTTATGAAAGCAAAATTTTGAGATAATTTTGGAAAATTTGGAATAATTCCACAATAATGGAATAATTAAGCAAATTACCACACCTGTACTCGGTGCAATATGCAGATACTGACAGTGATTTTTGTGAAGTTTGTACTGAAGGATAAAATGCTGAATATAAAATATTAAATAAAAAAGCCAGAACTTCTATAGATGATATAGTCTCCACTATGTATAAAATACAAAATGTAAAACATATATAAAGACCGAAAAGAAATATACCAAAGATTGAATGACTTGATGTGAGTGATGAGTTTTGGATATTGCAGCTCTTTTTAAATTTGTCCTATACTTTCCAAACTTTCTGAAATAAATGTTTATAAAAACAAAACTTTATTTTATGAAACTGTTTGGAAAAATTTGATGGCACATTCTGCAACATAAGCTGCCCATGCACAGGGCTCTGGGGATGCTAATTAGAAAATGATGAGTTAATTAAAGTTGTATGCTTAGTCTCCATGGCAAGGATTTCCTTTAATCCAACAGTGGTTTTCTCTCCATTTGCAGAATGTGGTTTCTGGATGAAAAACAGAACAGACTGACCCTCTGGCCACAGCTATTCA